AGCCTGCCTTACTCCTGTAATTCTAGCACTCTGGGAGGCCAAAGCGGGTGGATTCCCTGAGCTCAGAAGTTTTAGAGATCAATTTGAGCCAGAGCAAGACATTGCCTCTTTAAAAATAGCTGGGCCTTGTGGCAGGTGCCTGTAGTTTCAGCTGCTTGGGAGGCTGAGGCAAGAGAATTGCTTGAGTCCAAGAGTTTGAGGTTGCTGTGAGCTATGACACCATGGCACCGTACCAAGGGCAGCAAAGTGAGACGCTATCTAAAAAAAAGTTTCAAGAAGGAAATGTTCAACAATTTTAAATGCTTCAGAGACATTGAGTCCTACAATGGCAGAAATGTATCCATTGGCTTTGATAAGCAGAATTTAGTAAAAATTTTGAGTGGGGATAGATGCCAAACATCAATACAAGGAGGAATATTTGAGAAATCAGGAAGTGGAGGGAGAGTATAAAAGATTTTTTTTCTAGAACCTTACATGAGAAGGGAAAGGAAACTAGAGTGGCAGCTGGAGGGGTTTGTAGGATTACGGAAGTCTTTTCCATCTTTAAGGTGAGAGGGTCTTATAAATGTTTATTTGTTAAGGGAGAAGAACCAAAGATAGGTTAGGGAAGGCTGAAGAAAGGAGGGAATAATTGATGGAGAGAGGCCTAAGATCCAGTGCATAAATCAGTAGATTAGCCTTTGAAAGAAGGAGGGATATCTGGGGAGGCTTGGGAGTAAGAAGTAGGGTTTAGGATGTTTGGATTGTGTATTGATACTAAATTTGTGAGATGACAGGAAGATAAATCTGGTAGATAATAATATGTCATTAACATTGTTTTACAGTAGTGTTTTCGGCTAGTCTTCCTTTCAAATTTGATTTTGAGCAAGGTTATATCTGCAGCCACTTATTAAAAATCTGTTGGTTTCAAATGTAGCCCATAATATGGGATATAGGCTATGTATGTAGGATCTGTCCTTATTGAATAATTGTTATTTAGTGGTGACTTAATATTTAAAGCTTGATAAAAACTTCTGATTCCTCAATAAGCTAGAAATAATTTCTATGTTTTGTTCATTCTATAAATATATGTCATCAGGCTTTGGAAATGATTTGTTTTAATAAGTTTTTTATTACATGAATTACACCTATTTTGGGCAAATTGCTTTTTATAGAATTATATTAATACTGTCTTTTTTCCTCTCCCACTGGTAGTTCCAAAGAACTGCTGGTTCAGACTTAACCTCTTGCCAAGTTGTGAAAATAGTGAAGGATGCTTAGACTACTTAACATTCAAATTGTAAGTAAAGTTTATTTCTGCTATTATTATGTATCTGTTTAGAAAACAGAATTTGGAGATAGTCATTACATGTATGTTAATAGCTTTCATATGATGGCACTATGGATTTTTAATAAGTTTCCTTCTTAAGATACAAGTACTTTGTATTCCATTTATGTTCATAAGATCAAAAAGGAATAGTAATCAGTCTTAGGTAGTGAGATGAAATTTCTGCTTTTTGCCCGTATTTCATTTTATTGTAAAAGTTTATAAAAATTCTTTATTATTTTTTTCCACATCTGTGTGATACCAGTTGTCAAACTTAATGTAAGAGTATGAAGAGTAAGAAATGTTTTATGGGAAATGTATGTTCTTTTCTCTAAAGATATGCTTAATTTTTTGCATTACTTAATTTTGATATAAAAAATTCTGGACTGGGCCCTGTGGCTCATGCCTGTAATCTTAGCACTCTGGGAGGCCGAGGTGGGTGGATCACCTCAGATACCTCCCTGAACAAGAGTAAAATCCCATCTTTACTAAAAATAGAAAAACTAGCTAGGCATGGGTATTGGTGCCTGTAGTCCTAGCTCCTCAGGAAGCTGAGGCTAGAATATTGATCAAGTCCACGAATTTGAGGTCCTTGTGAACTATGATGCCATAGCCTTGCTATTCAGGGTGACAGAGTGAGATTTTGTCTCAAAAAATAATAATAATAATAATGATAAAAGGCTGGGTATGGTGGCTTAGGCCTGTAACCCTAGCACTCTGGGAGGCCAAGGCTGGTAGATTGCCTGAGCTTGTGGGTTTGAGACCAGCCTGAGCCAGAGCGAGACCCCACCTCTAAAAATAGCTGGGCCTTGTGGCAGGAGGCTGAGGCAAGAGCATCACTTGAGTCCAAGAGTTTGAGGATGCTGTGAGCTATGATGCCATGGCACTGTATCAGTGGCGGCAAAGTGACAGTGTTTTTCTATCTCAAAAAAAAAA